TGCGGCGTATTATTCGTATACCCTTTACTCCAATCGTAGCTAACGGCATACGCAAAAATATTCCCTGTCTTGTTGAACGCGGAACTCGAAATCGTCCCGCCCACAGCAGGATAGCCCTTGAGTCTATGTTTGGCGTCCTTATCCCAGAAGTGAAACGTGCCATCACTGCCGGCCGTGCTAAACGTGCCGTGCACAGGATGAAACGCGATCGAGTTTGACAGAGTAGACATTACTAACATCCCGCGTATTGGCAGGACTCTCACGGTGGCACTTGAAGCTAAAGTTCGAGCTAGAGTCTTTATCCTCGACGTACTGAATGGCGCAGCGGCCCTCGATGCTGCCCATGGCAAACCCCGTCGCGTCGGTGAAGCAGCTCACGACGCGCGTCTGGTATTTCAGTGGCGACTGCATTGTCTTGTAGAACTTAGTGGGCTGGTCGAGGTTGACGATGTTGATGTAGCGGTCTGCTGTGCCGATTACTAGGAGCTTATTTTTCACGTCCATGGTATAGACACGTTCTTGACATTCGAGCGTGCCGATTGGCATCGATTGGCGCAAGTCCCAGAATTTGACGGTTTTGTCCCATGAACCTGTTACTAGGAGGGGCTGGGAGGAGTTTCCTGGGTTTTGTATCATGGCACAGCATCTGATGGGGGCGTCGTGGGCGGCCACTTGGACAGGAGATGTTGCGTTTGCCTGGAGGTCGAGCATGCGCGCAGCCTTGTCGACACCGGCACCAACGACCTTGGTACCATCCTATGTGTAAATTGAACGCGTCAGTCAAAATGTATATATATGAATCAGTTCAGACCTATTCAAAACCGTACTTACAGGCGACCAGCAGCAATTCAAGACCGGTGCTTCGTGTTCAAAAAGGGCCTTGCCCTCGCTCTGGCCCTGCTCGTTGATCTCGTATATGCGAACTTTCTTATCCCATGAGGCGACGGCAAGATGATCGCTCACCGACGAGAAGGCAAGATCGGAAATACTGTCTTCGGGGGGGGAGGTGAGAGCCACATCTTTCGAGAGGTCTCCAGCGGTGTTGGAGACGGCCGTGGAAGTTGTTGCCGTGCCGAAAAGCGCCATCTTGAGGCGAGACTCTCTTCCTGGCAACGCCTACTGCCAGGCCTGTAAATCCGCTTGGGGCTGTATGCGCAGGCCTGCAACGAACAGCAGTCTCAGCTGGTTAGGAACAAGGCTGTTGGGGGAGCGGAGGTTCGTCCTTTGAGCCGGTGTTTTTTTTTTAGGGGGAGCCTTTGAAAAGATGGGGACGCCAGTGCAAACAGGACAAACAAGACTTTTGACTGGGCTTTGACTTGAGGGTTGCCCCCCCCGCCCGGCTGCTGCTGCTGCTCGATCACTTCCTGTTGGGCAGCAACCAACCGACAAGACGTGGTTGGTCTCTTCCATGAGGAGGGAGTTGGAAAAAAAGAAAAAAAAAAAAAAAGGGCTGTTTGTTGCTAGCTACGATACTTTTACTTTCCCAGATAGTTATTTCTCAGAAGCCTTCCAAATACGTTCGAGGGGCACTTTTCTTCCCGTTCTGCTCAACACAATGTTGCCAGACAAACTACCTACCCCATTGAACCCATGATGCCAGATCCTTTAATCTGCGCGAGTGAAGCAGATATAGTTTTCTTACTTTCCTGAAGGACACTGTTCCAGTAGGAAACTGCTACAGTCTGCAACTGTATATCTGTTCTATCGGTGGTCAGGAACCCGCTGCTGGCATATCGTGTCATATCTCACTCGACCGAACCATCCCCCCTCAGCCTTCTCAATGGGGCCGATGAGAACCACTACAAGTACTCTAAGCAGCTAGTTACATCTTACATGTCCTACCAAAAGCTACCCCATCTAGCAGTATCTAGAGCAGCAGGAAACCATTTCTCCCCATTCCGGCTCTGAAGTTGAGGGAAGCGCCCTTCCGGCGCACGTAGTAGACGAGATTGAGCGAGCTGTAATGTTGCTTCTTGCAGATCGTCGTGCATGGACACTGAGATCTTCAACATTAAAATGCGCCCTCCATATGGCTATGCATATTGATATTCCGTGGGATCCTTCTGGCGCGGCCTGGATACCTCCAGAAGCATGTCCATGCGACGACGAACTTTGTTATATACCAGAGACAGGCTTATTAACCTTATTTAACCTATAGCAGATAAGCAATCCGCAATTTCACTCATGTGTGTGTGTGTGTGGGGGTG